CCCCAACCACACGTTGACCTTTTGGCAGAGAAACAATGCTCCAAGTTTGATTTTCATCAAGTGCCTTCAGTTCTTCAAGCATGGCTTGCCTCCATACATGAGATTGGTGTGCCTCTTCGAAGGATCGAGGCTCAGAATTTTGGGATAACTTGGTCACAAAGACAGCATGAGATGGAGAGCTCTTGCTATGAAAAACCGTTTGTCCAATAGGATGTCTAGGCGTGTAGATTTCAAAATCATCAAGTCTGGCTGGAGGTTGTTTGTTTCGAGAAGGATTCCTTCGTGGAGGAGGAGGTTGTTCAAGTTGAGGCTCTCTCCTTTCGAGAATGAATTCTTCATTATCTGCTTCTATACTTTCAGGAGCTGGCTCTATCTCAACAGCTTCATTTTGCGGTGTTGACAGCCTTGTATCATCAAGGAAGAGAGGGGTAGGAAACACTTCATATGAGAGCTCCCACTGAGGTTCATCATCATGCATTTGAAAGAAGGATTGAGTTTCATCAAAACGCACATCCCTGGATACACATACCTTTCTGGTCTTAGAGTCGTAGCATTTGTATCCCTTTTGGGAAGTTGAGTAACCTACGAATGCACATTTGATAGCCCTTGGATCAAGTTTATCTCGGTGAATAGTTTGAATGTGCACATAGCATACACATCCAAACACACGGAGATGACTTATGTCAATTTCTCTCCCCTTGAGAATTTGGTAAGGAGATTTGAACTTCAAGATTCTACTAGGAAGGCGATTGATGATGTATGCAGCGGTTTGTATAGCTTGAGACCAGAACTTCTTTGGAACTTTTGCTTGTAACATTAGTGATCGTGTTTTTTCAAGCAAATCTCGGTTCTTTCTTTCTGAAATGCCATTTTGTTGTGGCGTTCCTACACAACTTGTTTGTTGCAAAATTCCATGCTCACTTAAGTAAGTTGTCATGATTTTGGAAGTGTACTCAGACCCATTATCAGACCTTAAGATGCCAATTTTAGAGTTAAAATGATTTTGAATTAATTTATGAAAATTTTTGAAACACTGGAAAGCTTCATGCTTGAATTTAAGTAAATACACAAAAGTAGTTCTAGAGAAATCATCAATGAACGATATGTAAAATCTGTAACCATCAAAGGACTCTAAGGTGGCAGGTCCCCAAATGTCAGAATGGACTATTTCAAAGGCTTTGGTAGCTCTAGAGAGAGAGTGGGGAAAGGGTAACCTGGTGAACTTAGATTTTTGACAAACTTCACAATCTGGAATCACTTTACAGAAACTAGGAAAAAGAAAAGACATAACATGTGAAGAAGGGTGAGCTAATCTCATGTGCCACAGGTGCTCATTGTTTACAGTGCTTGAGTTTACGTAGAAACTTTTTGGGAAACTTGAAGAGAATTTGACAACAGTCCATTGAGGAAGAATCCTTTACCAATCGTTTCCTTCGAAACTTGGTCCTGGAAAATCACATAGTGAGTTGAAAAAATTGCAAGACAATTTAGCAAATGTGTTATTTTTCCTACTGACAATAGTTTGAAAGGAAAAGAAGGGACATGCATGACAAGGGATTCTTTTTGACTCGAGAAGATTTTGAGTTTCCCTCTGCCTACTATACGAACTTTGGTGCCATTAGCTACGGAGACAAAAGAAGGAGTGGAAAAGTTTTGAAAATCATTTAGTAAAGATGCATCGTTAGTCATGTGATCTGAAGCTCCTGAGTCAACTATCCAAAAATCACAACTACTACTAAGATCCAAAGCAGTGGAGATAGTTGCAATAATACCTGGCATGTCATTTTGTGACACTGAGTTTGATTGTTCGAGGAAGCCAGCAAACTTGCCGAGCATGGCTGAAGGAGTTTCATGATTTGTTGCTCCTTGTTTCTGTTGCAAGAAGTTAGTGAATTCATTTATGAGAGCAATGGGACTAGAGGAAGAGTTTATCACATTATTGGAGACATTGTCGCAAACAAGATTTCCTCTAGGAGTGTAGGCAGGCTTCATTTGGTTTCTTGGTGCTCTTCCATCGTCATTGAACTTAGGTTTAAGTTCTGGATAAAGAATCCAGCACTTCTCTTTTATGTGTCCAATACCTGTACGACCTATCTTCACACAGTGAGAACACTTTAAGTCTGGTCGTTTTCCCTTGTATGGTCTGGAGAAGGTGAAGGCTCTTGCTTCTGATGGCCTAAAATTTGATTCTCCAACGACCATGTCTGCGTTCATGACCTTCTTTCTTACTTCTTCACGTTGAATAACGTTGCAGACCATCTGTAAAGTGGGAAGTTCAGGTGTCATTAAGAGATGGCTTCTAAGGTCTTCATAATCTGGTCCAATGCTGGCAAGCAACTGGAACACTTTGTCTTCTTCAGCACGCTTTAGAAGAATGGTTGTGTCCGTGGTATGAGGTCTGTAGAGATCCAATTCATTCCATTTGGCCTTCAAGTTGCCAAGATGTTGAACAAAAGAGAGATTTCCCTGTTGTAATTCCGTAAGATCTTTCTTCAGCTGAAAGACTCGTGCATCATTGTTTAGATCTCCATACATGTCTCGTACGGAATTCCAAAGTTGGTGAGATGATACTGAGTAGCTGAAAATCTCAGCCATCTTTGGTTCCATAGAGTTTAACAGCCAAGACATGATAAGTTGATCTTGGGATACCCATGCTGCATAATCCGGTGCAGTTGTTTCGGGGATGATGTCATCCTTTTGAATGAATGGGAGCTTTCCACGTCCTCCAAGAACGAGAGAAATAGCTCGTGACCAGGGCAGGTAGTTGAATTCGTTTAGAAGCACAGAGCTCAAACGTTGAATTGGATTGGTATCCATGGTTTCGTTTTTTGAAGTTTTTTCTGCTGGTATGGCCATAATGGCTCAACTGGTTTGAATTTGGTGGGTTTTTCGGAAGAACACAGAAGCAGGTCCAAGAGGAATCACTGCTCTGATACCATATGGACAATTTTATGTATATATCATGTATAAAATAGTTTACAAGATCAACCATAAATAGGAGAGGAATACAAGAAAGAAAGTGGAGGAATGGTGCGGACAGGGATGGCAGCTCAGCAAGCATGAGTGAAGACCTGACCTCCACTATCTCTAACTTAAACTAATACCTAGCTTTTCATGATGAGGGAATATTGCTCTTAAATAAGCCTAAAGTAAACAAACAAGCAGCTAACCCTAGCCGAAAGTAAGATGACAATGAGTTGTTATCCATCACCAACTAAACAATGACAACTAGACAAACCCTACCACCAATAATAATAGATACTTCAATAGAGAAAGACCAGTCTGCTAAAGTCGAAGAGAAGTGCAATGGAGCGTAAGTTGAAACGCATGAAGAAATCGTAAGAAAAAAGTGAAATTATCTGTATCTTTTTTTAAAAAGGGAACAAGCTGATGGTTTCGCCACAGCAATCTACCTTTCGGGAACGGAAAGACTTACACAAGCATTTCAGTCTCCTTTCACCCAAGTGAAATTATCTGTACAGTCTGATCAGTGTGTGGTTTTCCTTTATATGTAATTAGAATCATTTTATGGGGTTGTAATAAATAAATAAATGTATGGCACATAAGTTAACCTGTGCCGCAAGAAAATCGTTCAGAAAAAGCTTTTTATAAAGAACAATTGTGATCTCTACAGGCAGGAATTTCATCACCGGAAGAAAGCATGAGTCTAATGGAAGACTATAGTGCCGGCCTATACGTAAAACACTAAAAAAATGAAAAGAAGAGCGAAGGAAAGGCTACGAAACAAGTCCGAACCTTCCAGGTTCATCATCCATGACACACATTGACATCATTCGGTGGCATATCGGTGACGATATTTTCTCTGCATAGCTTTGTTAGATGCGTCATGTGAGTATACGTCCTGCAGCGGATGTGGTTAGTGGTTACTGCAATTGACAGTGACTTTTGCTCGTAATTTGGACGATCGTAGTATGAATAATATATTAGCAAGAAGTCGGGAAATTTACGGAGAAGGTCTCCTGGAAATTGTCATTCTGATTGCCAAAACTTAACCTTACCAAAATAAACAAAAACAAAATAAACTGGCCCTGACTATAAATAATGAGGAGTTGAAGCTATAAGCAAGTTATCCTACGTGTAAAACCCAATGGCCAAAGGTTCTCCACGTCATTCTTGTTCTGTATCATCCACGTGTTTGACTTGAAAATTCGTCACTCATGAGGGAACGTGTTGAGAATGAGTCTGACATTTATGGGAGAAGAGACCTTATATGGGCTTATAAAGAATTGAGCTAATTCTCATATTGCCAATTATTTTTATGGTGGAACACATTTTCTTCGAATGTCAATAATAAGCTCACTAATACAATTATCTCATAAAATATTTTCTAATTAATCTAGCCGACACGTTCTCATTTATTGAAAATGCAAACTCACTTTTTTGTTTTCGTTCTCTAAAAACACTCCCGAATACATTACCAAACAAGCCCTAAACATCTTTGAGTACATGCTAGCTAAGCTTTAATTTGCAACTGCTACCTTTTATTTCCTCTTTCATTTTTCTTTTTTTTTTTGTTTTTTTTTTTTAATCTACAATATCTGTACCAAAGGTCTAAGTCAAAAACATGAAAAACTTGCGGGTAGCAGAGCACAACAAGAACATGAGCCAGAAAGTTAAAAACCCCACAAGACACAAGTTCAACAACATTTCTTGTCATTGCTATATATTTTTGTTGAACTGTGAACAAGTTCCTGAGAAGAACTACGTGGAAGTAAGTATACTATCTCTAGTTATTGATAATTTCTTTACTTACAAAACATTCATGTTCTTGATTTACTTTCTGAACAATTAAACGGCGTTTTCATTTCCGTTAATACAAGGAAAATATTTGTGTCTCTTTAAAAGCAGTCATTCTTACTTACAAATCACAATTTGATGTGCATAAAAAAGTTTCCTTCAGTGTTTTTAATTGGTTATTTATGCACATGTATTGAACTTTGATTTACAGGAAGGAGCTCCGAGAAAGTATACCAAAAAGAATGCGTATGATGGGAGAAATGTGGGCAAAATTAGGCTCGATGGTTGCGAGTGTGATGTTCATGAGTGCCGTATTTCGAGACTTCCTTCCGGTGCAACTTCGGAATCATGTCGAACGATACATCCATAAACTAGCGAACTTTTTCGACCCTTACGTGCAAATTACATTTGATGAGCACACCAATCAGTTTCGCAAGCGAAGTGAAGTCTATTCCGCCATCCAGAGCTATCTCAGCACCAAGTCTTCTGGCCGAGTGAGGCGGCTCAAGGCTCATGATGTCAAGAACAGCAAGTCTCTAATCCTTAGCATGGATGACAACGAAGAAATCACCGATGAATTTCAAGGCATTACGTTTTCGTGGACTCTGGTGAAACGAATGGCGAACCAGACTTCATTTTCTATCTACCCGCAATCTAATGAGAAGAAATGTTATAAGCTCACGTTCCACAGACGCTATCGAGAATCCTTACGGGGTCTTACCTTGATCATGTGATAAAAGAGGGGAAGGCGATATCGGCAAGCAACAGGCAAAGAAAGCTTTACATCAACAATCCTGCAGAGGATTGGAATTCATACCGAGGGACGAAATGGAGTCACATTGTTTTTGAGCATCCGGCAACATTTGAAAGCCTAGCAATGGACCCGAAAAAGAAGGAAGAAATCATCAATGATCTCATCAAGTTCAGTAAGGGAAAAGAGTACTATGCAAAAATCGGGAAGGCATGGAAGCGGGGTTATCTCCTCTACGGGCCAACAGGAACTGGAAAGTCTACCATGATTGCTGCCATTTCTAACCTCATGAACTACGATGTCTATGATCTTGAACTAACGCAGGTTAAGGACAACACTGAGCTGAGGAAGCTTCTGATAGACACGCCGAGTAAATCTATAATTGTGATTGAGGACATTGATTGCTCGCTTGATCTTACCGGACAGCGAAAGAAGAAAAAGGATGAGGAGGACAAGGAAGAAAAGGATTCAGTTCGGAAAAAGAGGGAAGATCAAGAAAACAAACCGAGCAAGGTGACTCTTTCGGGGCTGCTAAACGTTATCGATGGGATTTGGTCAGCTTGTGGAGGGGAGAGACTGATCATGTTCACGACTAATTATGTGGACAAGCTCGATCCTGCACTCATCAGAAGAGGAAGGATGGACAAGCACATAGAATTGTCCTACTGCTGCTTTGGAGCGTTCAAGGTTCTTGCTAGGAGTTATTTGGGTTTGGAGACGCACGAATTGTTTGAAAGGATTGGGCGTTTGTTGGGGGAAACGGATATGACACCTGCTGATGTTGCAGAGAATTTGATGCCGAAATCTGATATAGAGGATGCTGAGTCTTGTTTGAAGAACTTGATCGAAGCTCTCGAGGCTGCAAAGGAGGAGGCAAAGATCAATGCCGAGGAAGAAGCTAAACAGAAGGCGGAGAAAGAAATGAAATCGAAGGCAGAGGAAGACCAAAATTTGAATGCAGAGAAAGAAGCATAACCAAAGGCAGAGGAAGAAGAAGATTCGGAAGCACAGAAAGACGAGCTCGAAGTGAAACGGAACGGAACGTCAGCTTAGCTTAATAGGAAAAATGTCTATTTCTTCGAATAATTTTAACCTAGTAAAGTCTCATTTGTGCAACTAGTATCTGTGTTTTTTAGGAAAAATAAGCTTATAAGTTTCTCAATTAACAACTAATTGTCAGCAATTTCCATCAGAAGTGTGATTAGTTTCCTTGTTTTTCTTTGGTTTGCATGTAAGTTGCAGTTAACTGATTGTTCAACAGCAGACGAACATGACAGATGACCGGAGAAATGTGGGTTCAGCTGGCCGCGGCGGTTGCCAGGGTGAAGCTTCATCGCTTGTTTCTGTTAAGTTTCTACGCACTTTCCATATCGTTTTCGTGGTATGGCGACGAAACCACCAGGCAATGGTCGACGATCAGAATGCTTAATTTATTCACTAACCAATGCCTGTTAGAACTTATATGTGAGAAGTGACTCAAAACACCTAATAAAGATATGAAATAACATGACTATTAAGGATATATAAAGTAATGAATGTTATACTGTTGATCAGTGTATAATATAAGGTGAGAAAACTACAAGTATTGTACAAAATGATGTAGAGGACAGTTATAAGGAGTTGGAAAACTGAAAGTAACTGCAACCATGATAGGTGGAGCAGTTACATCCCTATAACAAGGGTTTCGACCTCCTTTCTTGGGTAAGTTACAAGGTTCTCGTAGAGTGAATGCTCGTCCTATCAAGAGCAAGAGTTCTAATATGTTTACTAGAGAAGGGAAGGTCTTAATCACATCTCACACATCATGGCTTCATCTTCTAGTGAGTACCTTCCATTACATTGATTGTAACCTAATGCATTCGCAAGAATTAGGGTTAGTAATACTGCATGCATTTATTACAGTACGTAGTTCATATGCAATGTTGTTAACGATCTCTATATGCCTAAGTATACATATATACACACACACACACACACACACATCAAAAATGGCCTACAATACCAACTCCACTCTACCCCGGCCTTCTTTAACAAAATAGAATCATATAATCGGAATAGTACCAGTATCAGTGTAGTTAATAGTGGGCCGCTTGCCTCTATGTGTAAAATACAAGGCCAAGCAAGAAAAGCAAAGCTAAAACATTGACTCCAGTAGACATAAGTTGAATAGAGTGAAGAAAACAGTCAGCCCTTGAAGGCAAAGAGACTGAAATTATCAGTCTAATTTCTTCCTTATTTCTTGTATTGCTATCCACACGCTAATTTTTACCTCTTACTTATATCTCTTAATTTTTGGCCATCGGATCAAAAAAATCGAAGAGGATCAAATGACAGAAATTAACAGACATGTGAGAAGTAAAAAGAGATGTGTGGATAACACCACCCTATTTCTTCCATTTTGCACCCTTATCAATGTGCGTTTATCTTAACAATGTAATAAGTATTTAGGTGGAATGGGTTCACGACTATCGTTTCCCCTAAATACAAGGTTACGAAGATAAAATATTACGCATGGTCTTGTATTAATGATCTAAAATGTCATAGTGATGATGAACTTGTTTCTTAAAAATTCTCTCTAAAAACACAAAGCAAGAGAAAGGATCAGAAGGTGAAATGTAAATGCAGCAAGGGTTATTGAAAGTAAGTATCAGTAATTAAGGGCATGTTTGGTATTGAATTTGAGTCCAATCTTTTTAATTCAAAAATAATTTTTGAGTTTCAATTGCATAATTTGCGTTTGGTTGGAGCATTTCCAAAAAGTCAACTCAAAACTAACTCAAGAATTAGCGTGTTGCTTAAAAACACAAAATTTATGTTTTCACACTTTTTTTTCAATCAACATCATTGTTGGCGAAAAATGGGGCTGATTTAAACACAAAACACCACGGATTCAAACTCTTTTACGGCCGCTAGAGCTCTGATAACTTGGTTTGCTGCACGTTTTGCAAGTCCCATCTTTGAAAATTGGGCAACTGCAGGCATGGGGCTGATTGGGGAAGAATTTGAAGAGTTAAATTATTCGAAGTTGGGGAAAATTTTGACCTATTATTGTTGATTGCTTGTAACTTAGAACATGCGTCCACCAACTGTTTGTGTTTATGCATGTGAGAAAGCTGTGTGGTGCGACTGAAAGGCAAAAATTGTTCTTCAGAATTCCCAAGTTCCATAACAAACAAGTTTTCGGATTGCAATGGTTGTACTTAAGAAATCACGTTTTTAAAAACCATCATAATTTTTTTTAAATTTTTAAATAGAACACCGAACAGCCCTAAATATTGGATGCTGTTACTAATTAATATTTCCTTATTGATCCGGCTGTGAAACAAACGTGACTTAAATACACAATTTTCATTGCCAAATAGTCTGGTTCATGATTGACCATACTAATTGGAAAGTACCAAGAAAGTGTGTGTGATGCTTAACTGAAACATGATGATGACATCCCAGATGGCGTCAATGTCACGTTATGTCATAGAACTAATAATAATTTCCACACAAAAATAATTTAAATTTCGATTATGGTTAACTTAACTTAACCTCTTAAGCAAAGAAGATCATTTCCGAATCCATTTTGTGAGGATCCTAGAGATCTTTACATCTTAACCGTTTATCGTACATCGTGCAGTTAGTTTTTATCAGACACTATTTATGTTTAATTTCAAATAAAAAAATTAAATAATTTCTGACCGCATTATGAACGATGAAAAAGTAAAATATGATGATCCCTAAAATCCTCACAATTTGAATCTAAATGGAATCGAAATCCATCTTAAGCAAGGAAGCGAAGCCACGACACGACTCCTCCACGCCCACGGTCCACACACAAACACCGACTATTTGCATTGAGACAAATCCACGGGTCAATTTTTGGACCGGATTGTTTGAATGTATTCACACAGAATAATCTATGCCAACGCACCCCAAAACACCTTTTCAATTAAATATATTTTAAATTTTAACTTAAATCTCCTCAAAATTATACAAATTCCGACATTTCTAGCAAGAGCACACAGAAGAAATCCAAGAACAAGCAAAAAGTTGCAACCTTTGAGCCCCCAAAACATGGTTCCGGCAACCATTTTTGCTCACCTCGGATCCACGATCGGCGGGTTAATGTTCGTGTGGGCGATATTCCAGCAGTACTTCCCCTACGAGCTTCGAAGGCATGTCGAAAAGTACTCGCAGAGAATGGTGGGATATGTGTATCCTTACATTCAGATCACTTTCAATGAGTTCACCGGGGAGCGGCTGATGCGCAGCGAGGCTTACTCCGCCATCGAGGACTACCTGAGCTCCAAGTCCTCCACGCAAGCGAAGCGCCTCAAGGGCGACTTCAAGAACAACCAGTCGCTTGTTCTGAGCATGGACGATCACGAGGAAGTGGATGACGAGTTCAAGGGAGTCAAAGTGTGGTGGGCGTCCGGGAAGTACATAGCTAAGCAGCAGACAATCTCGTACGCTCCGGTGAACGATGAGAGGAGGTACTACAAGCTCACTTTCCACAAATGGCAGAGGGACCAGATCATTGGACCCTACCTTAGCCATGTCCTGAAGGAGGGGAAGGCCATTAGGGTTAGAAACCGGCAGAGGAAGCTTTACACGAACAATGGGTCACACTGGAGCCATGTGGTGTTTGAGCACCCTGCAACATTTGAGACTCTGGCTATGGAGGCGGAGACGAAGCAGGATATTGTCGATGATCTGATGGCGTTCAGCAAGGCTGAGGAGTTTTATGCGCGGATTGGGCGGGCTTGGAAGAGGGGTTACCTTTTGTATGGCCCGCCGGGGACTGGGAAATCCACCATGATCGCCGCCATGGCCAATCTTTTGAAGTATGATCTTTATGACCTTGAGCTAACCGCGGTTAAGGACAACACCGAGCTGAGGAGGCTGCTGATTGAGACGTCAAGTAAGTCGATTATTGTGATTGAGGACATCGATTGTTCGCTTGATCTCACGGGGCAGAGGAAGCAGAGGAAGGAGAAAGGGGAGGAGGAGGGGGAAGGGAGGGATCCGAAGGAGAAGACGGGGAAGGAGGATAGGGAGGCGAAACCGAGCCAGGTTACACTTTCCGGGCTGCTGAATTTCATTGACGGGCTATGGTCAGCGTGCCGCGGAGAGAGACTCATTGTGTTCACAACAAACTACGTGGAGAAGCTTGATGCTGCATTGATTAGGAAAGGAAGGATGGATAAGCACATTGAATTGTCATACTGTAACTCCGAATCGTTCAAGGTGCTGGCTAGGAACTACCTCAAGCTCGAATCACACCGTTTGTTTCCGGAAATTGGAGCGTTGCTTGGGGAAGTTAAGATGACTCCGGCTGATGTTGCAGAGCATTTGATGCCTAAGAAACTTTCCGGGGATGTCGAAATCTGCCTGCAGAGTCTGTTCCAAGCTCTCCAGAAGGAAAAGGAGAGTGGAGGATTGAAGGCTGAGGAAGAAGCGAAAGAGGAGAAATCGCCATCGGCTGCAGAAGAAGAACACGATCAGGATACAGAATCACCATCATCTAACAAAAAAATGAAGTGACTGCAAGCAAGAAAAAAAAAAGGATTTTCGATTTGGGGGGCAAAAGGGCTTTGTATGTGTAAAGCATTTATGTATGCTGCCAATGTGGTCCTAGATATATATCCAAAACACCTATAATTGTGTTGAGGTTTGAGCAAGGCAATTGTTGAGCATGCAAGGCTCATGTTTACGGAAAATCTGTCTTGTAATTGGTTGTACATTCATTGTCCGAGAGACTTACAGCCCGACAAGGGATCTCTCTCTCGAACCAGGGATATACAATCGGGCATAGCTAAGATTCTAAGAATCCCTCCTGTCCACACGGAATTAACTAGCAGCGGCATTTCAACAAACATCTGGTGGACACTCGGTTATTAGAGAGAAAGGTGCAAATTTGCACCAGAACGCAATCCAAAAGAAGCACAATGCTTCGACACGAATGACAAGGATCTACGCAAGATTCCAATAAAAAGAAATCGACTGAAGACGGTAACAATTTTGGGCTGAGTAGATGGAACTCACATGAAACTGAGTTGTTGATTTTGGTTCATATGCGTTAATTGTGCCTGGTGTCCATAATGCACTCTTCTGCCCGCCCTCTCACTTTCTTGTGTCCAGTTCACATGTAACGACCCGACATATTTTTTTTTTTTGGGCTTACCACATGCCAGTTCACATGCCTAATTAATTTAGGCATTGAGATACAACCTTTTTTTTAAAAAAAAAAAAGAAAAAAGAAAAATTACTATTATTAAGAGAAGATGAGAGAGTTTGAAACTATTATATTAATTTATGAGAGGAGAAGTTTGACAGCGGTGACGCATGGGTAGAAATCAACATCATTTCTACTAGGATATTGAACTACATGTATAATACAACTCTTAAAAATGATAAGTTAAGGTAGTAAATTATTATGATCGATCAAATATTCTCACCATTTTAAAGTAAATATATTGTTTTATTCGAAAATAAATTTATTAAATCTTTGTATCAAAAAATAATTCTTAGAAAACATTGAGGAATTTAAAATTTCTATTAATTAATAAAACACTCATTGTCAACTAAAACCCTATGAAATTACCAGTTTAACCTTCTAATTAAAACAAAACATGAATAAGAAATATGGGTCAGAAATGTAATTTCACACAACCAAATTTTACTGTTTTTTTTTTCAAAGTCTCACCTACATGTAATCCTAATATATCTCTAATTAAAAATAAAAATAAAAAATAAACTTCCTACTCCCACATTCTTTATCACTCTCTTCCCCTCTCCTTCTATTTCAAAAACAAAAATAAAAAAATTTCTCACACATTTTGTGTGTGCCTATATGCTAATAAAGATAAAATAAAGGCAACATATAAAAGCAGAAATAAGAAGAATAAATTACTTAAAACTAATAAACAAAACAATTATAATTATAAATACATTAACAAATAAAAAATAAAAAAATAAAAAAACCAAGAAAAAGACCATCGTGTCTTCTTAATTTCTCGTTTTTTTTTTCGAACTCTTGTCCTGCGACTCCTTCCTCAGCAACAATGGATAGTTGTACATACCTCCGCAACCTGTGCATTCATAAACATGGGTTTCTGACTCCGGCAAGCAGTGTGTGCAAACCTCGTCGTGAGGAATATGTCACTGTTTCATTTGCTTGTTTCATTTGGGTTTTCCCTCCAAGACAAACGTTTTAAAAAAATTGAATACTATTGCTATTCCTGCGAGGAAGACACGGTTATTCATTGAGCTCCATAATGACTTACGAACTCCTTGTGGAATCCGGATCCACGTGAGAATTTTGAAAATACGTGAATCATGTCCGTTTGTTGTATATCGTGCAGTTATAAATTATTTTAAATTTTTTTATTTAAAATTGAACACAAACAGTACCAGACGAAAGTTAATCGCACAATGTATGATGAACAAACACGATTCATGAATATCCAGAATCCTCACAAAGAGAATCTTGTTAGCTTCCGGTGGGGTGGCCATGGCGAGAACAACGACTCGACTCTACTGTCTCACTGACTCACGTTTTGATTTTTAATTTTTGTTTTTTTTAATACTTAATGTTCTTATTCAACAAAAATAAAGTTTTTTTCTTAATTATACGGAAAAATTAGTAATTGGTTAGCAGATTTTTGACTCAAGAAGTTAAATGAAAGGGAATTAAAGCCTAAGGGGATGTTATTATGATGTCTCAAACGTGGGAGGTTTCGTGAAAACTCGATAAACTTCATGAGGTGTTATTGTAATTAACCCATTATAGTATAGATGGGTTAAATGGTTGATATGTCCAAGAACTGAATCTATCATAAAAAATAAATACACGTCTTATAATTTAAGTAAAATTGTAATAATGGCATTATACAAGTGCATGCAAAAATGCCCAAGAATGCATGTCCAATTGTTAATGAATCACATAAATGCTGATATATGTATACATAAATCATACAAACTTAATTAATTTAATATGTATATTTTTTTATGGAGCTAGCTGCAACTGATCAACCTCATATATATGTATAAAGATGTTTAAAATAATATTAACAAATAATGATAGAGAGTTGGTATACCACTAATTCTTCACCAATTGGCCTTCCCCTCTCCTCTTGTTTATCAGACAGACAGATCAATACACATGCATGCATGCAGCCTCAGAAAGCGGTTGTAGGGGGTACTTGTCACAGGAGAATGATATAAGTTGCGATTCGATATATCGCAATTTTTGTCATCTCTCTTAAGACATGTATCTCCTCCAACGTCTTTAATATCTCTTCTTCCTTAATATTGTTTGATCTCTCTTCAGTGTCTCCTCATGGTTTCACAAGATAAGGGCCCTTGCTATGTATTTATAAGCAGGGCTGGGTAGCTAGAAGGCCCTTTTTTATACAGTACTATTTTGAAGAAACTTCCATGAATTTCGCATTGCATGCATGCATGATCCTGCAAGTAGTCTTTTACAAGGTGTCAAGGTGTTCATCCTTCATTTGGTAATTCCACGTTTTTCATGACTTCGCATGTGTGTGTAACCTTGAACTTGTAATTTGCTGTCAATTTATTCCTTAAACTTTTATTTTAGCCAATTCCTTTTAAACTTTTATTAATAGTCGATTACCACCTCGAGATTTGATTTCCAAATTTTCCATCCATTTCTCTGTTAAAATCTATCACGTGGCTAAATACACCCCCCTGTGGATGAGGGTAAAAGGGTAATATCAACATACCACCTTAGCTTCTTCTTCCAGCACCTAAAACACTGAATTTCACCCACAACCACCTCCTCCTCCAATCCTCTGGCGCCGGCATGTCCGGCATCGTCGCTTACATGATCTTCCATACGTTTAAATCCCTTGGCATCCACTCCCTTTCCACGGTGACATATGTCTCATCATCTGCACCAAGGCCAAAGTTTCCATTTTCATCTTAGTCACCTTTGTCGATGGTAGTGTCTGCGCCACCGTCTGCGATATGAACATGCATTTTCCATTGAAGTGAGAGCTCTTCCTTTCGATCTGCCTCGGTCACCTCTACCGCGATTCCAAAAGGTCTTCAATGGCACCGTCGCGATCGCGCTCATGGGCCCCAAAAATCTCACCAAATATTAATACGTGCCAATCACCCCGATGGTTGGATGGGCGAATCCCTTCTTGGATTTTTGAGACTCCTTGCCCCACGTAGGGAAACATACGCTTCTTGAGAACCTTTATATATGTTTTGTCTTCTACACTAGTTATTAGGATTTGGACCATTTGGAAATGAATTGAAGGCTTGGGCCTTATGGATGTGTGGATTAGGTTTGTAAAGTATAGCCTAGTACAATTAATCTCTACTAATTAATAAAGGGAAGTGTTATTGGTACTCCAAAAATCTCATTCTACACTCCTCACGAGTGTATTTTTCTTTCCAAATATAGAAAGTTTGGAGTATAGAATGAGATTTTTGAATTGCCAATAACAATTCCCTTAATAAAACACTCATTGTCAACCAAAACTCTATGAAATTAACAGTTTAACCCTCTAATTAAAACAGAACATGAATAAGAAATATGGGGCAGAAATGTAATTTCACACAACCAAATTTTGCTTTGTTTTTCTTTCAAAACCTCACATACATGTAATCCTAACATATCTCTAATGATAAAAATAAAATAAAAAAACTTCTCACTCCCACGTTCTCTATTACTCTCTTCCTCTCTCCTTCTATTTCAAAAGCAAAAATAAAAAATTTTCTCACACACTTTGTGTGTACCCATATGCTAGTATTAATTACTCAAGACAAGGGCTTCTTGGAAGTTAAAATTAATCAGATTCATTAATTTTAATTTTGGATTATGTTTTTTAATTAACATATTAATTTAAAAAATGTTTTGATTAAGAGACACAGTTTTTAGAAAAAGTTGTGTATTTTCAAATACGTTCAACAGGTATTTGAAAAGGTGTGAAACAACCTATATATTTGTAATCTCAGTTTCCAAATAGAATCATCTTTTCTTCCTCCTTCTCTTTTGCACAAAATTTCCAGAGAGTAAACACACAAAACAATTCGCTAGAATTCTATAATCCAGTGCGGGTTGTAGAATTAGGTAGTTGTATCCTGATCGAGCAGACGTTGTAGAACCACAAGTACAAGAGTGAGACGGAAATACTGTTTGAAAGACATAGTTTTTGCGCTAGCATCTACATGTGGTTAATCAAGTTAGTACTATTTTAATTCTTGTATTTATTTATGTATTTCATTCTGCATAGCAAGTATTTTTGGTTAATAAAGTATTAGAATTTCAAGTTCTGTTATTTCTGTTATTTTTATTTATTTCTGAATTGTTCTCCAACATCCCTAAATTTCAAGATCTGATCTTCATTCTATCCAATTCCAGTTATCCAAATTCAATCATCTTCAATCCAAATGCTAGGGTTTTTTTTCTTCTGTCTTAAATTTCAATCATCTTCAATCCCTTTTTTATGCGACTATCTTGTGAAATGATAATGCTTCAGAACAGTCGTGAAATTAGCATGTTGCTTGAAAATTGGGGCACTGCAGTATGAGGCTGACAGGGGAAGAATTTGAAGGGTTAAATTGTTCGAGGTTGGGGAAGAGTTTGATCTGTTGTTGTTGCTTGCTTGTAACTTAGAATGTGCACCCACCAATTGTTTGTGTT